TGATCGCCGCTGCTAGCCGCGATGACGAACGGCAAGGACAAGACCGGAAGAGGTGGGGGGATGATAATTAGTGGGGGGGGAGGGTGTGGGGGGAGGGGGAGGGTGGCGACAGGAGAGAGGAGGGGGCCAGACAGAGAGAGACACAGACAGAGAGAGACACAGACAGAGAGAGACACAGAGACACAGACAAATAGAGACACAGACAGAGAGAGACACAGACAGAGAGAGACACAGACAGAGAGAGACACAGAGACACAGACAAATAGAGACACAGACAGAGAGAGACACAGACAGATAGAGACACAGACAAATAGAGACACAGACAGAGAGAGACACAGACAGAGAGAGACACAGACAGAGACAGAGAGAGACACAGAGACACAGACAGAGAGAGACACAGACAGAGAGAGACACAGAGACACAGACAGAGAGAGATACAGACAGAGAGAGACACAGACAGAGAGAGACACAGACAGAGAGAGACACAGAGACACAGACAAATAGAGACACAGACAGAGAGAGACACAGACAGAGAGAGACACAGAGACACAGACAGAGAGAGATACAGACAGAGAGAGACACAGACAGAGAGAGACACAGACAGAGACAGAGAGAGACACAGAGACACAGACAGAGAGAGACACAGAGACACAGACAGAGAGAGATACAGACAGAGAGAGACACAGACAGAGAGACACAGACAGAGAGAGACACAGAGACACAGACAAATAGAGACACAGACAGAGAGAGACACAGACAGAGAGAGACACAGACAGAGAGAGACACAGAGACACAGACAGAGAGAGATACAGACAGAGAGAGACACAGAGACACAGACAAATAGAGACACAGAGACACAGACAGATAGAGATACAGAGACACAGACAGAGAGAGAGAGAGAGAGAGAGACAGAGACACAGACAGAGAGAGACACAGACAGATAGAGACACAGACAGAGAGAGACACAGACAGAGAGAGACACAGACAGAGAGAGACACAGAGACACAGACAGAGAGAGATACAGACAGAGAGAGACACAGAGAGACAGACAAATAGAGACACAGAGACACAGACAGATAGAGATACAGAGACACAGACAGAGAGAGAGAGAGACAGAGACACAGACAGAGAGAGACACAGACAGATAGAGATACAGAGACACAGACAGAGAGAGACACAGAGACACAGACAGAGAGAGACACAGACAGACAGAGAGAGACACAGAGACACAGACAGAGAGAGACACAGACAGAGAGAGACACAGACAGAGAGAGACACAGAGACACAGACAGAGAGAGATACAGAGACACAGACAGAGAGAGACACAGACAGAGAGAGACACAGAGACACAGACAGAGAGAGATACAGACAGATAGAGATACAGAGACACAGACAGAGAGAGACACATAGACACAGACAGAGAGAGACACAGACAGATAGAGATACAGAGATACAGACAGAGAGAGACACAGAGACACAGACAGAGAGAGACACAGACAGACAGAGAGAGACACAGAGACACAGACAGAGAGAGACACAGACAGAGAGAGACACAGAGACACAGACAGAGAGAGATACAGAGACACAGACAGAGAGAGATACAGAGACACAGACAGAGAGAGACACAGACAGAGAGAGACACAGAGACACAGACAGAGAGAGACACAGACAGATAGAGATACAGAGACACAGACAGAGAGAGACACAGAGACACAGACAGAGAGAGACACAGACAGAGAGAGACACAGACAGAGAGAGACACAGAGACACAGACAGAGAGAGATACAGAGACACAGACAGAGAGAGACACAGACAGAGAGAGACACAGAGACACAGACAGAGAGAGACACAGACAGATAGAGATACAGAGACACAGACAGAGAGAGACACAGAGACACAGAGAGAGACACAGACAGAGAGAGACACAGACAGAGAGAGACACAGAGACACAGACAGAGAGAGACACAGACAGAGAGACACAGACAGACAGAAAGAGACACAGACAGAGAGAGACACAGACAGAGAGAGACACAGACAGAGAGAGACACAGAGACACAGACAGAGAGAGACACAGACAGAGAGAGACACAGACAGAGAGAGACACAGAGACACAGACAGAGAGAGACACAGAGACACAGACAGAGAGAGACACAGACAGAGAGACACAGACAGACAGAGAGAGACACAGACAGAGAGAGACACGAGAAACGGAGACAGACAGAGACAGACGGAGACAGACACAGACATACACAGACACAGAGACACAGACAGAGACAGAGACACAGACACAGACAGACACAGACACAGAGACACAGACACAGACACAGAGACACAGACACAGAGACACAGACACAGAGACACAGACAGAGACACAGACACATAGACAGAGACACAGAGACACAGACAGAGACACAGACAGACACAGACAGAGACAGAGACACAGACACATAGACAGAGACACAGACAGACACAGACAGACAGAGGCCTCTCGCCCGCTCACCATCATTGGAGTCATCCATCTCCACCTTGACCCGGGGCCACTCCTCCTCATCCCGCACCTCCTCCTCATCCCGCACCTCCTCCTCATCCTCCTCCTCATCCTGCACCTCCTCATCCTCCTCCTCATCCTGCGCTTCGCGCTTGATGATGATGAACGGCTCCACGGGCAGAGAGTAATCGGCCTCCACGTCCTGGTACATCATCTCATCCTCATCCTCCTCCTCCTCCTCCTCCATGTCGCCTGCCTCAAGCGAAATTCAGTGCAGCGGAGAGAGAGAGACAGAGAGAGAGAGACAGAGAGAGAGAGACAGGGACAGAGAGGCAGAGACAGAGAGAGAGACAGAGAGAGATAGACAGAGAGAGACAGAGAGAGAGGGACAGAGAGAGACAGAGAGAGACAGAGAGAGAGAGAGACAGAGAGAGACAGAGAGAAAGAGAGAGACAGAGAGAGACAGAGAGGGACAGAGAGGGACAGAGAGAGACAGAGAGAGACAGAGAGAGACAGAGAGAGAGACAGAGAGAGACAGAGAGAGACAGAGAGAGACAGAGAGAGACAGGGACAGAGAGAGACAGAGAGACAGAGAGACAGAGAGGGACAGAGAGAGACAAGAGAGAGACAGAGAGACAGAGAGCGACAGAGAGGGAGAGAGAGAGACAGAGACAGAGAGACAGAGATAGTGCTGAGTCTATGACAGTGCTGAGTCTATGACAGTGCTGAGTCTATGACAGTGCTGAGTCTATGACAGTGCTGAGTCTATGACAGTGCTGAGTCTATGACGACAGTGCTGAGTCTATGACAGTGCTGAGTCTATGACAGTGCTGAGTCTATGACAGTGCTGAGTCTATGACGACAGTGCTGAGTCTATGACAGTGCTGAGTCTATGACAGTGCTGAGTCTATGACAGTGCTGAGTCTATGGTGACAGTGCTGAGTCTATGACAGTGCTGAGTATATGACAGTGCTGAGTCTATGGTGACAGTGATGAGTCTATGACAGTGCTGAGTCTATGACAGTGCTGAGTCTATGACAGTGCTGAGTCTATGACAGTGCTGAGTCTATGGTGACAGTGCTGAGTCTATGACAGTGTTGAGTCTATGACAGTGCTGAGTCTATGACAGTGCTGAGTCTATGACAGTGCTGAGTCTATGACAGTGCTGAGTCTATGACAGTGCTGAGTCTATGACAGTGCTGAGTCCATGGCAGTGTTGAGTCTATGACAGTGCTGAGTCTATGGTGACAGTGCTGAGTCTATGACAGTGCTGAGTCTATGACAGTGCTGAGTCTATGACAGTGCTGAGTCTATGGTGACAGTGCTGAGTCTATGACAGTGCTGAGTCTATGACAGTGCTGAGTCTATGACAGTGCTGAGTCTATGACAGTGTTGAGTCTATGACAGTGCTGAGTCTATGACAGTGCTGAGTCTATGGCAGTGCTGAGTCTATGACAGTGCTGAGTCTATGACAGTGCTGAGTCCATGGCAGTGTTGAGTCTATGACAGTGCTGAGTCTATGACACTGCTGAGTCTATGGCAGTGCTGAGTCTATGGCAGTGCTGAGTCTATGACAGTGCTGAGTCTATGACAGTGCTGAGTCTATGACAGTGCTGAGTCTATGGACAGTGCTGAGTCTATGGCAGTGCTGAGTCTATGGCAGTGCTGAGTCTATGACAGTGCTGAGTCTATGACAGTGCTGAGTCTATGGTACAGTGCTGAGTCTATGACAGTGCTGAGTCTATGACAGTGCTGAGTCTATGACAGTGCCGAGTCTATGACAGTGCTGAGTCTATGGTACAGTGCTGAGTCTATGACAGTGCTGAGTCTATGACAGTGCTGAGTCTATGACAGTGCTGAGTCTATGACAGTGCTGAGTCTATGGTACAGTGCTGAGTCTATGACAGTGCTGAGTCTATGGTACAGTGCTGAGTCTATGACAGTGCTGAGTCTGTGACAGTGCTGAGTCTATGACAGTGCTGAGTCTATGACAGTGCTGAGTCTATGACAGTGCTGAGTCTATGGTGACAGTGCTGAGTCTATGACAGTGCTGAGTCTATGACAGTGCTGAGTCTATGACAGTGCTGAGTCTATGACAGTGCTGAGTCTATGGTGACAGTGTTGAGTCTATGACAGTGCTGAGTCTATGACAGTGCTGAGTCTATGACAGTGCTGAGTCTATGACAGTGCTGAGTCTATGACAGTGCTGAGTCTATGGTGACAGTGCTGAGTCTATGACAGTGCTGAGTCTATGACAGTGCTGAGTCTATGACAGTGCTGAGTCTATGGTGACAGTGCTGAGTCTATGACAGTGCTGAGTCTATGGCAGTGCTGAGTCTATGACAGTGCTGAGTCTGTGACAGTGCTGAGTCTATGACAGTGCTGAGTCTATGACAGTGCTGAGTCTATGACAGTGCTGAGTCTATGACAGTGCTGAGTCTATGGTGACAGTGCTGAGTCTATGACAGTGCTGAGTCTATGACAGTGCTGAGTCTATGACAGTGCTGAGTCTATGACAGTGCTGAGTCTATGACAGTGCTGAGTCTATGGCAGTGCTGAGTCTATGGCAGTGCTGAGTCTATGGTGGCAGTGCTGAGTCTATGACAGTGCTGAGTCTATGACAGTGCTGAGTCTATGACAGTGCTGAGTCTATGGTGACAGTGCTGAGTCTATGACAGTGCTGAGTCTATGACAGTGGTGAGTCTATGACAGTGCTGAGTCTATGGTGGCAGTGCTGAGTCTATGGCAGTGCTGAGTCTATGACAGTGCTGAGTCTATGACAGTGCTGAGTCTATGGCAGTGCTGAGTCTATGACAGTGCTGAGTCTATGACAGTGCTGAGTCTATGACAGTGCTGAGTCTATGACAGTGCTGAGTCTATGGCAGTGCTGAGTCTATGGCAGTGCTGAGTCTATGACAGTGCTGAGTCTATGACAGTGCTGAGTCTATGACAGTGCTGAGTCTATGGACAGTGCTGAGTCTATGGCAGTGCTGAGTCTATGGCAGTGCTGAGTCTATGACAGTGCTGAGTCTATGACAGTGCTGAGTCTATGACAGTGCTGAGTCTATGGTGACAGTGCTGAGTCTATGACAGTGCTGAGTCTATGGTGACAGTGCTGAGTCTATGACAGTGCTGAGTCTATGACAGTGCTGAGTCTATGACAGTGCTGAGTCTATGACAGTGCTGAGTCTATGACAGTGCTGAGTCTATGACAGTGTTGAGTCTATGACAGTGCTGAGTCTATGACAGTGCTGAGTCTATGACAGTGCTGAGTCTATGGTGACAGTGCTGAGTCTATGACAGTGCTGAGTCTATGACAGTGCTGAGTCTGTGACAGTGTTGAGTCTATGACAGTGCTGAGTCTATGACAGTGCTGAGTCTATGACAGTGCTGAGTCTATGACAGTGTTGAGTCTATGACAGTGCTGAGTCTATGACAGTGCTGAGTCTGTGACAGTGTTGAGTCTATGACAGTGCTGAGTCTATGACAGTGCTGAGTCTATGACAGTGCTGAGTCTATGACAGTGCTGAGTCTATGACAGTGCTGAGTCTATGACAGTGCTGAGTCTATGACAGTGCTGAGTCTATGACAGTGCTGAGTCTATGACAGTGCTGAGTCTATGACAGTGCTGAGTCTATGACAGTGCTGAGTCTATGACAGTGCTGAGTCTATGGCAGTGCTGAGTCTATGGCAGTGCTGAGTCTATGGTGGCAGTGCTGAGTCTATGGCAGTGCTGAGTCTATGACAGTGCTGAGTCTATGACAGTGCTGAGTCTATGGTGACAGTGCTGAGTCTATGACAGTGCTGAGTCTATGACAGTGGTGAGTCTATGACAGTGCTGAGTCTATGGTGGCAGTGCTGAGTCTATGGCAGTGCTGAGTCTATGACAGTGCTGAGTCTATGACAGTGCTGAGTCTATGGCAGTGCTGAGTCTATGACAGTGCTGAGTCTATGACAGTACTGAGTCTATGACAGTGCTGAGTCTATGACAGTGCTGAGTCTATGGCAGTGCTGAGTCTATGGCAGTGCTGAGTCTATGACAGTGCTGAGTCTATGACAGTGCTGAGTCTATGACAGTGCTGAGTCTATGGACAGTGCTGAGTCTATGGCAGTGCTGAGTCTATGGCAGTGCTGAGTCTATGACAGTGCTGAGTCTATGACAGTGCTGAGTCTATGACAGTGCTGAGTCTATGGTGACAGTGCTGAGTCTATGACAGTGCTGAGTCTATGGTGACAGTGCTGAGTCTATGACAGTGCTGAGTCTATGACAGTGCTGAGTCTATGACAGTGCTGAGTCTATGACAGTGCTGAGTCTATGACAGTGCTGAGTCTATGACAGTGTTGAGTCTATGACAGTGCTGAGTCTATGACAGTGCTGAGTCTATGACAGTGCTGAGTCTATGGTGACAGTGCTGAGTCTATGACAGTGCTGAGTCTATGACAGTGCTGAGTCTGTGACAGTGTTGAGTCTATGACAGTGCTGAGTCTATGACAGTGCTGAGTCTATGACAGTGCTGAGTCTATGACAGTGTTGAGTCTATGACAGTGCTGAGTCTATGACAGTGCTGAGTCTGTGACAGTGTTGAGTCTATGACAGTGCTGAGTCTATGACAGTGCTGAGTCTATGACAGTGCTGAGTCTGTGACAGTGTTGAGTCTATGACAGTGCTGAGTCTATGACAGTGCTGAGTCTATGACAGTGCTGAGTCTATGACAGTGCTGAGTCTATGACAGTGCTGAGTCTATGACAGTGCTGAGTCTATGACAGTGCTGAGTCTATGGTGACAGTGCTGAGTCTATGACAGTGCTGAGTCTATGACAGTGCTGAGTCTGTGACAGTGTTGAGTCTATGACAGTGCTGAGTCTATGACAGTGCTGAGTCTATGACAGTGCTGAGTCTATGACAGTGCTGAGTCTATGACAGTGCTGAGTCTATGACAGTGCTGAGTCTATGACAGTGCTGAGTCTATGACAGTGTTGAGTCTATGACAGTGCTGAGTCTATGACAGTGCTGAGTCTATGACAGTGCTGAGTCTATGACAGTGCTGAGTCTATGACAGTGCTGAGTCTATGGCAGAGCTGAGTCTATGACAGTGCTGAGTCTATGACAGTGCTGAGTCTATGACAGTGCTGAGTCTATGACAGTGCTGAGTCTATGGTGACAGTGCTGAGTCTATGGCAGTGCTGAGTCTATGACAGTGCTGAGTCTATGACAGTGCTGAGTCTATGACAGTGCTGAGTCTATGAC